TTCCTGGCGAAACGTGGAATTAAAGATGAAATTAGGTAGCTTGGGTATTGCCGTTCTCTTTGAATCCATGTTTCATAGTCTTCAAAGTCTTCAATCTCATTACTCCAACGTAATATAATATTTATTTAACCGTATTGGTATGGAAAATTACGTATAACGTGACTCGCCTAAAATTTCCATTCTACTAAAGTTCCCTTTGTATCCCAAACGATCCTTTGATCTCTGCGAGCTTTATCAGACGTCTATCATTCATATCCAACTCACAGTTCCTTCCTTATCCCGCGTCGTTCTTTTCATCCGAAGTATTCGAAGAAATTTCAAGCGTGCCTTTGTTGGATTTAGAACATGGGACGCGAGGAGGAGCACATCATCGAGCCTGGAGGCGGTTGCCAAGTTGGTCAAGGATCGTCCGGATAGTTTTGAAGAGAAAACCGCGAAACGAGCCTCGGTGGCAGCCGCTCCTTTGGCAGCCTGGGTCCTCGCGAATCTTCAATACGGTCAGATTGTTCAGCAAGTGGCGCCTCTGGAGAGGGAACAACGCCAACTGGCCGAGTACGTGAAAAATTCTTGGAAAACTCGGATTCCATTATTCATCAACTCGAAACGTAATCTTTCAGACGTTTGTCAGCGGCCGAGGCTCAGATTGGCAAACTGGCAGCTGGTTTAAATACAGTGGAGAGTCGCGTGGCGAAGCTTCAAGAGGAACTCGCGGAGCATTCGAGGGGAGCAGCTGCACTCCAACTACGCGCTGAAGCGACAGAAGCGAGACTCGCAACAGCTAGAGCATTGTTGCAGAAATTGGACACTGAACACGGTGATTGGCAAACGCAATTAGAGGAACTGACCGGCAGAAAAGTGAAATTAGATGTCGAGGCTGCCAATGTGGCATCCTTGCTGGTTTACGAAGTACGCGTGTATCAGATGTTTTGTTTCCAAATTGAACAATTTTGAATGGAATCCTGTCTTTTTTAATTCAGGATCCCGGAAAGGACGACAAATGGAAGAAATCGGCCATCGATCTTCTCATCACCGAGAGAGAAAGACTGCTCTGGCGAGCACAGGGCTTGCCAGTGGACACCGGAAGCCTGGTGGGTGCTTCCTGCGCACTCAGAGGTCCACTAGTTCCCATATTCGTAGATCCGTCTGGAGTAGCGGTTTCCTGGCTGAGAAATAACGTCGGTTCCAGAATGGAAATCACGAAACCAGAGGACGCAAAGTTTCTCACTACTTTGGAAATGGCTGTACGATTTGGAAAGCCTCTGTTGGTGGAGGAACTCGTGGAATTTCCTCCGATTTTATTACCGTTGTTACGCCGACGTCCCCTGAGACTCGGTGAACGAACTTTGCCCGCTCCTCAAGGCTTCAAACTTTTCCTCGCCACCAGGCGAGACAGATTGGACGGTTTCCCGAAGGAAGTTGACGCCGTGCTGTTCAAGATCGCTCTCGGAGCAGGTAGCAAAAGTTTGGCGGAGAGATTCGTCGAAAAAGTGAGCAGAACTTGTTCGTATTTAAATTGCCAATAAATAAAATATTCAATTTTCCGTTCAACACCAGTTGTTCTAGCGACAATGGCAGTGATATTAATCACTCGGCTTTTCGCTGACAAATTACTGAAGAGATTAATTGGTTCGCGGACAGGTATTGTTGAAGGAGACTCCGGAACTGGCGACCCAAAGGAAGGAAGCGTTAGAACGAGAGGAAAAATTATCAGGAGAACGAGACACCGCGAGATTGGATCTGTTGGCGCAGCTGGCTACAGCCAGAGGTCAAGATCTTCTCCAGGAGTCTGAAGGATCTCAAGGAGGGCTTTTGTCGTCGTTGCAGGCCACTCAATCAAAAGCCAAAGAAATTGCGATGGCTCTTCAGGAAAGCCGACGGAGCTTCGAAGATGTTACCAGGTAAGCGAAGGTTCATCAAGAAATACATTTCATGTTGAAGTTTCCCTTTAAAGAATAAAAGATGGGAATTTAAAAAATAAAGCAATATCGTTTAATTACCCGCAGGAGGGCCAAGGATCACGAGAAACTTGCTAAATTCGCAGCTAGTTTGTACAAAACTGTGAAGGCTCTGACTGCTTTAAGTCCGTTGTACGTATTTTCTGCCGAAGCTTTCACCGATATTTATTTAGAAGCAGAAGATTACAGAGGCTCGGTACTCTCGGAAGACAAAAGGGAACAAGATAAAGCGATTGAAAAACGGTAAGTGAAAAATGTTAATTACATGTTAATTAGTTTACAGATTGAATATAAATTCAATTTTAGTATAAAGCGATGTTCTTTTATACTTCTTTGTTACAGATTAATAAGTTTGACTCTTCATTACTGTTCGAAAGCAGTGTACAGGAAACATCGTCTGCAGTTGGCGTTGCAGCTGGCTCTCTCTTTGAATTCAGTTCCAGATTTTGAAAAAAGATTTCTATTAGAAGAAGTTCCATTGAACGATGACCAAGATTCCGATTATAATGTTCCCGATTGGATTCCCGAAGAACGACGCTTATCGGTTCAATCTCTGGTGTCGTCGTTTCCACAAGTAACGCAATTTCTTCTTATACAAAAAAATAATAAGAATAATTTAAGAAAAAACAAAATTTCGTTCCTTTAGATAGCCAGCAAAATGAAACCAGCTTGGTTAAACGATGTCAGCAACATCTACGCTGAAAATAGTCTGACCACGTTCCAGAAAATTTTATTAATAAAAACTTTACGTCCAGATTACCTGCACACAGCTCTTTCGAAATTAGCAGCAGAAGTATTAGGTGATTTTCTATAGAGAATACACGTATTTATCCTGAAATTTATAAAATCGATTATTTTGAAGGTGTGAAGGATTTGGCTCCACCTAATTGGTCCCTGACGAAGATCGCCGAACAGGAAGCTTCGTATCCCGTATTGTTGCTACTATCACCGGGAGCTGATCCCGGCTCAGAACTCAGATCACTAGCAAACAATCAAGTTGCACTGGCGACAGGGTTCATCGAGGTGTCATTGGGTCAGGGGCAAGTTAATCAAGCTGAACTTGCTCTGGAGACTGCTTGCCGGTAGTAATAGACTAGGTTTTAGATAAACGTTCCATTGGCAAAATGAAATATTCTATTCATAACGTTATATGTTATCAAACAGAAATGGTAGCTGGATACTCCTCAGCAATTTACACCTGGCCTTAAATTGGCTGCCACGTTTAGAGAGTCTCCTAAGATCAGCCATGTGTACAATTAACAAGAATCCCGCTACGAGAATCTGGCTAACCACCGAGGAATGTTTAGGTTTCTATCCGAGTCTGGCCGGTTTATGCTTGAAACTCGCGTACGAACCACCGGAAGGGGTGAAGAGAAACGTGAAAAGATCGTTGCAGCAACTTCAGCAGAAGCGACGGAACAATGAAAACGTTCCTGGCAGCGTTTTATTGTCCTGGCTTCACGCCACTCTTCAGGAACGACGAAAGTTTGTTCCTCAAGGATGGATCAGGTCTTACGAGTGGAGCGAACCGGACCTGGAGGCTGCTTACGAGTTGGTGGTGAAGGAAACGAGTCCGAAGAGGGGCAGAGACAAGGACGGTAGTTGGCAGACCGGAAGAGGATTGCTGGATGTGGCTGTTTATGGGGGTCGTATTCAGGACGAGTATGATGCCAGAGCACTGTGCTCGATTGTTCGAGATGTTTGGTCCTCTCAGGTGTTCGAAGGTCGCCGGAAATTGGCTGGTGTTTTAAAGGTTACCGATAGCTCGTTCGAGGAGGCGATTAGGGCTTTGGAGAATCTTCCTGATAACGATTCGCCTAAAGAGTGCTTTGGATTGCCTGCTAATGCTCATAGAGCTTGGGAACGAGCTGCGGCTGAAGCTGTCCTGTCGCATCTCAAAGGTTTGTTATTATAACAAACGACTTTTGGATATTTCAAATAAATAAAATAAATGAACAATGAATCGATAGGGGTTCTAATCAAAGCATCGATTAGTGACGAGAAAAGCAACAGAAAGACTGAATCTAGGATTCAGAGGGATTTGAAAGAATTGATAGATCGTCATGGCTCAATTTTTGGATCGTCAATCATCGAGGGAGATGGGAATAATCAGCTGCAACGTTTCTTTATTGACGAGATGAAGCTGACTAAAAGAACTCTGAATCTTATTCGAGCTGACGTTGATTCACTGCGTTTCGAAGATTCCAAGGTAAAATCATTTTGGATAATATCAAAGTGATAAAACATAATATATGATAATTTTATTCTGACGAATTCAGACTCCAAGACACTGGATGGAAGATTGGAAATACGGACCCAAAGAGGTTCTACTATTCGTTAAGGGATTGTTGTCTAGATACCAAACCCTCGAATCCATCGTATCGATTTCTTCATCCGTCATTGATATCTCGCGATTGGCTAGACCACGCGCATTTTTAACTGTTCTGAAACAACATACCGCAAGAGAAACGGGTCAACCTTTGGAAAATCTTCGACTTAAGGTTAACTGGCTCGGAAATCGTAGGAATGAAGGATCGAAGGTATCGTTGGTCATCGATGGATTATTAATATCAGGTAATTAGTCGTGGTGATCAACGTGTAAATAACTTTTACAAATTAAAAAAGAAAATTGTGTTGATTATACAGGTGCTTTGATCGAGAATGGCACCCTGAAGGACTTGGACGCTAACGCGGCATCCGTTGCAGCGGCACCCAGTTGCCAGATCGCATTTTTACCCGAAGACTACTCTGAAAATAAATCCTATTTAGGAAATTACAATTCCGAAGACACCCTTAACGTTCCAGTTTACGCGAATTCCCAAAGGGAGATGTTGATTTGTTCGCTTCCGGTTGAATGTCCCAGAGAGGAGCACGATAATTGGTTACGTCGGGGTGTCGGATTTCATTTGAAATTAATTTAGCTTGCACTTACGTAGAGTCAGTATTGTATAGTTTAACAGTAAATAAACAGAACGTTACAATATACGCAGGTGTTTTATATTTATTAAACGAAAACGGAGCTTGCGTAGAGGGAAAGGGTGGAGCTTCGAGAATCAGAAATCTTTTTATTACTTATAAAGTAATCGCTTGATACATCCTTCTAATCAGAAGTTACTCGTACAAGTTACATAGACTCAGAAAATAGCGGTAATCGAAGAAGTAATTGCAATTACACGATCGTTCCTGTAATTATGTTGGTTCGTGTCCAAGTCGATTACCAAATACAAACACTTGACGAGATTCCGACCCGATACAAATCTGCACACGTTGTGAACAACATATATTTAATCGTCAAGATCACAGCCTACGTAGATTATATTTGCAACTAACAATAAAAATGGTTGAATCGAAGCAACCCGTAGCGTGAAATCGTCTGAAACGAGCTTGCAGGGGTGGAAAACGAACCCGCCAGGCAGCTGTATTTGACAAAGACAGAGAATAGAATAGAACAGAGACCACCCAACTTTCGCGGCAACGAAACGCGAACGGAATAAGCTCGGTTTGTTACCGATTGGAAAATCGGTGTATTTAGATCGACGTTCACAATACATAGCTAGCGATAACAGTGGCCCTTTTGTTTCCCATTCGGTTGCAGTCTAAATTACCAGTTAACCGACTTAATGGCTAAAATCGTAACGCGAATCAATTGAACGTTTCCTTGGCTCGGTGCCGTTTTTACAAGTTTCCGGCTCGCTAACCCGTATTTTCAAGCTTTTCAATACAGTTTGAACCGAAAGAAAGGCGGTGATCTCGTAACAAAGGCCACCGGTCGTCAACAACGTGCCGTGAACCTGGACCGAAAGAACATTGAAGGTCCATGAAGGCGATGTACACGATGGTTTTTTTCGTCGTCGACGGTTTAAGCGGAGAGGAAAGAAGTGAACGCAAATGGACAGACGAAAAGTGATAGCGACGCGATCTCGGCCCGAAACGCCATGATTGTCGCTGATTTATTGCTCTAAAAACTTAAGATGAAACTCACGGGCCGAGGCCGCGTCCCTGAGAAAGGCAATACTGTGTTTATTTTCCTCTCTTGGGAAACTCTTCGCGCTCTTTCACACACATACAGAGACGCACAGGCACACACACACACACACATACACACACGTGCTCGTACTCAACTCTCGTCGCTTTGTCTTCTTGTTCGTTTACTTATCTATGTTCTTTCGAACTATGTTGAACGCTCGCAGAGAGGTGTCTACTGAAACTTTGTTCATTTATAAATCATACCGGATTACATTGTTTTCAAATGTATCCGTTCGATAATTAGGCTACCGGGGATGTTTTATTTCAGCGCAGAAGAGGGTACAGATATTTTAACACGTTGATTGCAGCCGGTGGACATTTTTAATCTTATTTCATGGAATCTATAACTCTTGTAACGATGAAATAAAAATTAAGCATTGTAGTTGCGAGAACCATCTGCCATTTAAGCGTTAATAGATAACAGTTACATCTATTTCTAAATGGTGTACCAACAAGAAATAATTAATTTCAATTTGCCATCTTTTCTTTCGAAGTTGTCAAAGTTTCCGCGAATTCAACGATCCGACTCATTAAAGTTTAACTCATCAGTCCTCAAACATATTCTTCGGCGTGAAAGTTCTTCGAATTCCTTTCTTCAAAATCAATAATTTAACAATTGTTACTTTTAGAAATAGTTCAATGGTCTTTCATTTATCCAACTTACACATCGTTTGAGCCCATTTAAGATGCCGCGAATCAACCTTCTGAACAAGACCAGCTTGTCGATATTCTTACAATTAGAAACTTGGAAACGTCCATTCTCGAACTAAACAACGATATCACGCGTTAAACGGTAATGTCGGATCGCAGGAGCATTCAAATCACCGGATACGAGCTTGGTTAATCCAGTCAACGCTGCCGAACAATACTTATTTTATCGTTGGATCTGAAATCGAGACAGGAACAGATACAATCGATTTATAAATGTTCGCGACTCGATTCGATCCTAAACTCCACTCTAATTGATTATTATCACCTAACGATTAATACTATAACCGAGTGATAGGCACACGGTCCTGTGATCGACGACGAAGAGGAAAGAACAGAAAACAGGATTAGTCGATCAAACGTGTGATCGATGAGAAAATTTTTTGTTCTCACCTTTCCCTCTTCCAAAAAAATTATTAAAATTCAATTCTTTCACCTCGGTTGCAAATAATTCTTTAAAACTTATTTGTAATAATTTTTCAGATCTTAGAATTTCGGTGGTTTTCAAGGAAAGTTCATAGAAGGATCGCGAATATGATTGTCGACCACTCTTTTGGAAAGTCTATGGAAAAAGGAAGGAAGTGAGAACGAAAGTCGCGTTCATTTAAAATCTCGACGAGAATTAAAGGCTAAGATTAACTCTAGAAAGTTCAAGGGAAATCTTGAATTGGTCGCGTTTTATTCCGTTCGAAGACGAGTGGTCCAAAATAGAGGAACAATAGAAAACTAGAGGACTACGGTATACATGTAAATCCGCGTGCAACGTAATCTTACAGTAAAGTTCATTAAATTCGAGTTCGTTTTTAAATTCACTTACGAGGATCGATGAGTATAGTCTCGGTAAAAATACATTTATACAAGTTTACACGAACAAATTGACCATCGATGTTACGAGGATAAATGTCACGGAGAGTCTGAAAAATGTCAAACGTTTTCAGAGTTAATCGATCGTATCTCTTTTTTTTCCCTTTTTTTTTAATCATTTTCTTATTAGACTGCAGTTGATGCAATTACGTGAAATTTCGATACAGGTACAGGAGATTCTTTTTCGATATACAATATATACGAGTAAACGAGAAAATGTCGAATTCACTTCATTTCGAGATAATTATATCAATGGAATCGAGAAGATCGTGTAAAAATGATTTACGAGGATTTCTAATTGAAAGTTAAACATTGATTGACAAAAAATAAATAAATAAAAAATAAAAATTCAACAAAATATCAAAGCCTTTTAACGCACAACTATAATAGCTTCCTCCTTCTTGTTCTCTCTAAATCATAGCGACGTTTACGGGGCGAAGGATCGGAAAATCATCGATCATCATCGAAGAATGAAATACAACGGTGGAGATTTTCGATCGTTCGCGCGGTAAAGGTCACTGATAGATTAAAAAGGCATCGTGAATTATCTACATATAAAAAATAATCAGAACAACGTATATCTTACGCTCGAAGGCATTTTCTAGAATTCACCATCGTTATTAAATACTCTATGAATATGAATACGCTTAATTTAACTTGATACACGCGATTTACTCGCCCACTAAAACTCCCTTCTATCCTTTCTCTACTCGATTCTTAAAAATATCAGTTTAATTTACAAGAGGAGAGGACACGCGGGAACAAGCGTTGCGAAACTTCTTTCCTCGTACACGCGTCTCGAATTCGAGAGTTTAAGTAAAACATTTCTTCCCTTAATTCCTTCGAACAAGAAAAAATACTTGAGGTTGTTTAATAACATATCGAGAAATAGACACACACGAGATACTTCGAAACGGCAGACTCGTCGCTTGTATTTTTTAACCCTCGCAAGGGGGTGGTAGTTTTCTTTCTAAAATAATTCTAAAACCAATAAAGCGAGAGCTTAAGCCGTCCTTTTATTATAGATGAAGAAATACAAATACTTTCATCTGGAAAAAAAATCGCAGACAAGTATAATAATGATCGATGAAATGGCTTCTGACAGTGCCGGGCACTGCTTGTGTGTCACAGAAATGAAAATAATTTAATATCAATCAGAGACGTTTAAAAAATAAATAATTACCGAAGACACCATCCTCTTTCCAAGGGTTAATAAAATTTCGAAACCGTCACTGGAATATTTACACTAATATATAAAATCGAGTCGAGTGCTTGCTTAATTACTCGTATATAATTTATGTTCGCGCGTGTCCAACGAGGACAATTTATTTCTCTCGTAGACGTTCTACAGGTATATCATCGTGACTCAGTTGTTTCTTTTTTTCTGTTTTTTCTCATTTTCTCAGAACGAACTTCCTGTCCGCAGGACGAACAACGCTCGAAGGATACTATTATACATACTTTATGCAATATAATACGACAGTAAAATTAGAGTAGTCTAAGTAATAGTACAATGATAATAATAATCATAATAATAAGAGACGATAGACCGTCGTTTAAGAGCTAATTGGTGTTCGTACGTTGATCCCCTTTTTCATTTTGGTACCGAGTTATGATAATTCCCTTCTCTCCGATTGTTTTTAGTCTTTCATCAACACATTCTCCCTCCCTTTATTTTCGATATCTGTTTTTCCTTTTCAATTCTTCATCTCTATCGAATTAACACTTGCACATTTCCCCATAAGTCATAAGACGCTTTTACTATTTTAGAAAAAAATATTAAAACGATCCAAGCTCCCCAAATGACACGTTTCAGGATCTTGGGGTTTCAAGATTTTGGTTTTGGGAGGAACCCAGGAAGACCCAGGAAGAGATTGTGGAAAAGCTAACTTAGAACCTTTGTATTCATTTGATATAATGTCTCGACTGTTTAAAGCTAAAACAATTGTCTCATGACTTATGAAGGAGAGTATACATTGTTGGTTGATTCGAAATTTCATTTGAAAATTTATGACGAGCTCTGCGAGGGATCAGTGAGAAGCAATGAATCTTAATTTGGCAAACAGCGCCTTTGATCTTAGGTCACGTTTTCATCGTAGCAACGAATACGAAACAGTTGGATTTGAATTTATTAGATGTCTCAGAGATTCTCGGCAACCGTTTCGTACGCAAAGAATAATTTTCAGTTGAAACGTTTTAACGGCTAAAGGGTTAATGGGATACCAAAAGAGAGCAATAAAATTCCATTAGCACTTACGTGTTCAACTCACCGTGAAAACGCGACCCAAGCTTCCTTATACTTGCCCATCGATTGGCACGATTCTCCTTGATGCCCTGATTCTACCTACCTATCACACAATTGAAAAATCTATGAAGTAATTAAGAATATATTTTTCAATTAATTGCATCGCGCTGATCCCACTCGACAGGCATCGAAACTTTGTTCAACGAACGTACAAACGTCCTTGGAACACTCGTTCGATAATATCTTTTTTCTTTCAATGATTCAACGATTTCGTTTGTTTAAATTTAAATTTTACACTGCGTGTATCGAAGCAGCGATAAAATGTTTGACGAACGTTCACGGACAAGAAAAACAGTATCGCGAGGAAACTTTTGTATCGTAAGGACAATAAATATGTATCAGTATTAACGTACGTAGAAAATATATGTATATATATATATACGTATGTATATTAACGCGACACTTATACAAAAAAGATATGTGTTATCCGATACGATGAGGTATCCCTAGAACAAGCGAAGAGAAAAATTCAACACGGGAGGGAGGAATAAAGACTTTTGAAATACCGAACAGAGTCGGATAGAATTTTCCTTCCTAATCGATCAAATTTACCTAACAATCGATCGATCACGAGCAAACGTATTGAATACGGTGTAACAACGCAACTCGATCGAATCAACGATCCCAGCAATCTTTTTCTCTTTCAATAAAATTCTGTCCAACTCTGAACACTACTATCGCTAATTTCGCGTTCTTAACCGATTGCGAAGAAAAATGTAAAAATCGTTCTACTAAGAACAATGCTAATTGTAAATCGATAAGGATATATTATTATAATATGTATACGATGTATATGTTCGTCGAAGTGGTAGCTAGAAATGGAACGTAGAAAAATATAAAATAAAAATCATACAAACAAATACCGTGAAGATTAGTCTTTACGATTACAGCGATTAATATCCGATTATCATTCACCTTTGATCCTAGTCTCTCACTAATTCGGTTACGGGTTTTTTCTTCTCAATTCCACACCCTTAAACTCCCAATGGATGAGCAAAAAGTGTTTTTATCACCGATTCCCCATACTGTTCAACGACATATCTCCTTTCTGTTTTCATCGTCGATTAAAACAAGGCTCGACAGATAGAACGCCTTGTTGCATTTACGAGATACGATTGAAAAAAAAAAATCAGTATACATATACGTGTTTACAGGCTCGTGGTTCGATCGAGAACACCTAATTCTATACGAAGTACGTGTGATACCGTATTAATTATCTCTATGTAGAATGCGTGATATTAATTTACAAGGTTAGTTGACAGTGATCTCGGTTCGCTCAACGAGGAAAATTGAAAAGTATCCGGTGTCACCTTCAACTGTCGAAGAAAGAATATCGATTTATCACGTGCAACTTACGCTAGATCGCCGCAGAAAAGAAAGATCGTCGTCGATGATGATCGTTGAACCTAGATCGATGGTCTATGCAGGGTCGGCTCAGGCTCTACCGATTACGGCCGTAGGTCAAAGGGCGTTCTCCATTTCTTCCGTTGTCAGCTGGAACTGCTCTTGACCTACATCATCGAACGGTGTCGATTTAACGATCGTAGAGGCGTGACAATAGCGAGAGTGGATATTCATTTTGACAGGCAGATATTCAAAAAATAAAAAGAAAAGAAAAATACGCGGAGCTGTGTTCTAATGATGTCTGGGATATTATTGTATATTGTTTGTCAATCTTCAACGGGAACGTGTTTTTCAGAGAACAAAAGGATTAAACTCACTGTATAAATATGCTGCGAGTTCACGATCCTCCGCTTGCAGAGCAAGATCGCGAGGTGTGTTACCTTGTCGATCCTTGATAGTTAAATTAGCACCGCCGGCTACTAGCATGCAGCAAACGGAACGACGTTTATATTGAGCCGCTTTGTGTAAAGCGGTTTGACCTCTGTAATGAAAAAACAAGCTCCTCTTTCTTATTCGATTTCCATTCGCCTGCCAATAATGAACTGTCCGTTCGATCGAGGCTAAATTCCATCGTAATTTCAATCACTTTCATTATTACCCAATTAATTTATGAGCTACTCGAGGATCTCGATTTGAAATCTAATTTCTTTTTTGTTCTTTGCTTTTCTTCATTTCTATTATTAAAACTTACTTGTCGTTGTCGATCATGTTCAAAATGCTCGATGGTGCGCAAGCGATGAGATATCTGACAATATCCTTGTGACCATATCTCGAGGCCAGGTGAAGAGCAGTTTGTCCAGTGGCGTCGATGCACATAAGGGAATATCCCCTCTCATGGAGTTCCTTTAGAGCCTGGATATTGCCGAGCTTTGCAGTTTTCAAAATACCGTCGCTGGTTTTCTCCAGTAATCTCGTGTTAAAGGTGTGGACCTCAGAACTCAAACCGAAAAGTCTATCCCGTGGACTGGAACAAATAAACGTTCATTCATTCGCGTTACATCTTGCCCTGAAAACAGTTGTCTTTTTTATTTATATAACATTCACTACGAGTTAACCAATACAATTATAATGATTGATAATCGTATTTTCAATCACGTAATAATGATCGTAATGATCCTTATAATTTCTAGCCGTTTTAGTTCTTCGAACAAGATCCCTGATTACACGAAGTACTTGAGAACTAATTTTGAAAATATGTATACAGCTCACCTAATGAATGTTGGTGGTGCCTGATGTTGCGACTGAGCGACAGTCGTCACAGAGATCGATTTGGAGGAACCGCTTTCCTTTACGGCGTCCCTCGATACTTTTCCTTCGTTAGCCTTTTCCTCTTTCTTCGTGTTCTGCGGTTCGTCGCGTGCCATGTTTTTCTTCATTGATCCCTGACACTTGGCGGTGTCTTGAGTCTCGGCTTGCGTCTTCGTATCCTCAGCCGGTTTCTCAGCCGTTTCGCTCTCTGGTACCGGTGATGGTTGCGCCTTCGATTCGCTTTTAGGCTGCTCTTGTGTCATGGCTGCATTTGATTTTGGCCGTTCTTCGCTATATTACACGTTCTTTCTATTAATCTAATGATACGATTCCATTACCATTACGTTATCATGGACACACAGACGAATGTGTGAGCTGAGGATATGAAGAACGTTGGATCAAGGTGTTCTTATCGCCTGCATACAATTACCAGTCATAATTTTGTAACTGTTGCATTTGTTATTTAAAAACAGATATGGTTAATCGCAATTTCAAACAAACGGATGAGTTTTTACAGACTACATGTTAAAATTAACTCTTCTTTATTTAAGAACGTATGGTTAAGGTGTTTGAAAGGATTCAGGTTGTAGATTTACAATGAAACTACGTACGAACAAACAAACAAAATTTGATAATTCAGCGTGTAAAGAATACCTCGGAGAGGGATGAGCAGTTTCAGGTTCCTGGCTGGCAGATACCTTTCCCTCAGGTTCGGTTGACTGATTATTCGCACTCTCTTCGAGAACGTAGACTACCTCGACAGCAACATCGGTCACGTAATGCAACTGTTCTTGAGCCCTGTCGATCCTGAAGAACCGTTCCGCGGTACACGCTGAAAAAGAGATTTAATTCCTAATCCAAAGGATTGAGGAAGAATCGCCACAACCCTTATACCATTAGATAGCACATGTATTTATTATTAAAGCCATATATTTTATAGAAAATTGTACGAGGGCAATCCAGAAAGAAGAAGAAACCATTATTAGAAAAACACTTTTATTGCGTAATGAAGTACAATGCCTAGATTATTTTTCAATATAGTTGCCACCATTGTTGAAGCATTTATCATACCACAGTTCCGATCTAGCACTAATTGTAAATGACTATCATCTTTTCCAGCACCTTAAATCGTTTCTTTCTGGCAAGCAGTTCACGATAGACGACGAGGTGAAAAATGCTGTCACCATATGATTGGCATCGCCGGCGGCATCTTATTAACGACAAGGGCATACAAAAGCTCATACTGCGCAATAATAATGTAGTATCGTAGGTTTAGAGAACGTTAGCTCTCTCAGGAGGACAGGAAAAGGGTCATAAAAGTGAGAGCGTTGACGGAAAGAAGACAGACCCAACGACTAGGCGATCGGCCGATGCGTCGGGGGTGTTTTTCTAGGAGCGTGGTGGGAGGGAAAGGGCCAGCGAGGGTTTTCTTCCTGGCGAAAAGCGACAGATTGGAATGGGAGTCGAGAAGTGTCGTTGAGAGTCGAGAGAGAAAAGAGTTGCGTTGAAAATAATATTATCATCTGTGTATCCTTAGTTCTAATAAATCACATTTTTAATATCAAACACTACAATAAATGCTTCAACAATGGTGGCAACTATGCTGAAAGATAATCTAAGCATTGTACTTCATTATGCAATAAAAGTGTTTTTCTAATAATGGTCTCCTTTTGTTTAATTGCTTAACGGAACTTATTTTCTGGAGTGACCTCGTATATAAGTTTTCCAAGTGAAGAGCGACGAAATACTTACAGTCAAGGAAGCAACAAGTGTCCATATTATGATCTTTCGCCAGGATCGTCCTCAAGGATTCGAGGTCCGTGGTGGCATCGAGATCGAGTGGATCAGCGATCCACGTCGACGCGGCGTTCTTCAACATGTCTTTATCGTGATGATACTTCTCGTAATCCGACATCTTTATTTTCATTACAGGCAAGTTTAATCTATCCAGTTTCACGTCCTGCGGCGGCTTGCTAGCGTTCCTCCTTTTTGCCAGCATCGTTGCTTTGTTTAATAATTTCATATTTATAATAGATGGCAACAATCGGCAAGCCTCTCCGTCAACCTGAAACAAAAATAATTTCTCCATGGTTAATATTTAGAAATTTTTCTAATTTTAATTCTGATCTTCGCGCTTCAAAATGCTAATGATTCTTTTTTTTTTTTTTTTTTAAGAGTTAATTACCTGCATTGGAATGGTTTTCGTAGTAACCAGTTTAGCTGTGCTACATTGAGCAATACAGGTACCATGACCCCCTGCTTGAAGAAGCGGAAGTTGGTACGTCGTCAAACCAACGACCTCTATTATCCCATCCTCGGTCGATGGTTCCTTGGTTCCACTAGCAGCGCCCCAAGGATGTGTCCCACCACCGTACGAGGCGATGTTCAGAAATACAATGGCATGGACGCGATGTTCCTTCAATTTTGGCGTCACATCCTGGCCATCGCATTCCAACGTGACGAATTCCGAGAGGTCCTTCCATTTTCGCAAGACCAGATCCTTGCCACCCATCTGACCGTAGTACATCTTGTTTCGTAATCGCGAGTTGAATTTTTCTGGATGCGCCTCTGCGATTACATTTTAATCACCTTTAAGCTATTGCTTTATTTCTTCTTGCACGCATTACAGGTAAGCTACTCGAGGACAGTTACTAACCTCGAGCCTCGTGAAACTCAAGAGCGATGTGAGCATCTACTCCAAGGGAATAGTAATTATTAACGACGTTCAGAGGTAGATTCTCTTTGCCCTTGCCGTTATCGTCGTCGCCCTGGGCATCCGGATTTCTTTCGACTATCAGTTCCCACCTATCCAATAACGTGGTGTCACTCTCACCGATGTTAGTTAAGATTTTCCCGATTGGCTCGTCCGTGTAACCACCGCCCCAACCTAACGCCCTTGCCAGATCGTTTCCGGTTCCAAGAGGGAGTACTCCGACGGCCGGTGGAGGAGATGCACCGATCTGATCTAGGATCGATAGCACCCAACCAACTGTACCGTCACCACCACACGCGAGAACTCGCAGATTAGGAACTTTTTTGAACAATTCTAGCCTAGAAAATTGAGGAAAGGGGAATAAAAGTTTGTAAAATATTAGATTTGTGCAAAGAACGTGTTAAGATTATATTCTTAGGAAATTACGAAAATTATGAGCTTTTTAAAGAGGGAAGCTAATTAACTGGTTCACTGCAGAAATATATTTGAGGACATTAATTGGGAAACGGGTGTAAAGGACTTTTATCGTTTGTACGCAATCATAGTTGGACTGAATGAGCGTTGTTTACGACGTTATGAATGCAATGAAGTGAAATGCACCAACTTTCTCCTAAACTTCTCGAGGAAGTTTCGATAATACCATAGCGACAACTTTTGTTCGAAAACGTTCGCCCTTATTCAGCTATTTCCTGGCTACGAGCCAGACTCGTGGAACTTTGATTAAACCTCTTGTTCATTTATCATATTTTCCAATATCCTGCCATCCTTTTCGTCTAATCCATTCGACCAATTCATTTTCATCTCGATTTCCATTCAATTAACCTAATTCCTTACCCAAACCCGGAGTGTTAAATTTAAAGGTGCCGCTCGCGATGTTCTTTAACACTCGAACGGCGATGCTTGGATCCATATGGACCCAAGTGATGAATAATAATTTTCTTGTAATGAAAGCAAATTTTTTACACCGAGCATCGAGTCTACAGTGACGAAAGTAAAAATGATTCTAAACAAATCTATGAATAGAGGAGATAACAAAACTCACCCCATTTTGGGTCCACCCTGCGTCAGATCGAACACCTGTCTAGGATTCAATAGCCACTGGAATTTCTGCAACAATTTGGCACCCTGATTCCCTCCAGATTTCGGGTTAATGAAAACCAGCACCGGTTTCACGGATGCCGTAGGTATAGGCTTGACCACCCACAATTTCCCTTGATCCTGATCCTTCTCTTTATCTTTTTCCTTCGATTTCTTTCTGGATCCGGTGCTTCCTCCACCGCCAGATTTCTTTTTTCTCGGCGATTTCCTGAGACTGCTCTTGAAACTACCTTTCCTGGGCAACTTGACGATCCAAGAGGGTGGAACGATGATGGAAGAATGGGCACCAAGTTCACAATTTTCACCGATTTTCTGCACGTTGAAGCACGCTTCCTTGTTGTGGTAGGCACGTTTGCACCAACTGCAATTCACCGCGACGATCTCCTTCGAGGTGAAGCTCAGCTTCGATTGGAAAGACTTGCCGCAGTTCCCGCATTTCCCTTTTTGGGAACGACGGTGGACCCAGTGGTGTTGAGTGTTCGGTTGCTCGCGATACTGCCGGACACCCACGTCCCGGAAGCTCGATTTACACGCGAAATTCAAACTCGTCGCGCACACCGTGTGAGCCACCACACGACATGCCGCACATTTCATCCGGGCCCCGTGTTTCTGAAAATTCGTATATTTTCTGATTTGAAAAAGAGAAAATCTTTAACGAAGAACAAACCGTGTGTACGCTTGCAAAGTTTCACAAGAAAAATTCATGGTGTATCTTTCTAAGTTTACGTCGGTGCTCGGGGAAAAAAAGTGAAAAAGAAATGCAATCCCCCTTGAAACTACCCCGATCCTCGTGTTAATCACTTTTTCTATCTTTCTGAGGCTTTGCCGCATCGGTTCGTTTAAGCGAAAGAACTGGAACATTAGCTCGACGAGGTTCTCATTAGCAAGCAAAAACGCTTCGTTTTAAGTCTCTCAGCGATATTTCTTGGTCGTCATTTTTGCGATAATGCACCCTGTAAACCTTCGGCTCGTTTAAGTTCCCCGATTACATACGGGTTACGCGATTATTGGATTTTAATGGTGCAAACTTCCCCGATAGCCCTGGTTTATCGCATATCTAGCAACAAAGAAACAGCTCCGCGTTGCATTATGCATTATGTATTTAACGTTAAGATAAATTTAGGAACGGGAACGATGCCGGCAAATACACGCACCGTGTCTAAATTTATTCAATCGTACGAACACTTGTATCGTTCTTCGTCTCTTTGCCAACATCCACCTGTCATTATTTATTTATCGAACAGCTGTGCACGTAGCGGTGTGAAATAATGTAGCCAACAGGAGATTAACGTTTAAATAAACCCGGTGTACAAGGTCGATTTGTGAAAACAAAAACAAATATTTATGCTAAGGTTTCAATTTCTGACCCGACAACGTTATCCACTCGGCTCTCGGTTAATTATTTCAAACTAAGGAAATGAAAATGTTGTTAACTGAATCGTAGTTGCACAGAGAGTAAACCGACATTTCGAGTGACACATATAGGACAATATTAACTGCGACGGATGAGCAATATCGTAAGGGAAAAGCTTTTTTGGAGAGCAGCAGAAACGATGAAGAAGAGGTTCGACGAGGGTCTGTCGACCAGCCTTGACCCTCTACAAGCCGCTCTAGCTCTCTACTCGACCGCGTTTCCACTGAAATCGTCACAATTTTACAGCGCAACTTGCTGCACGGTTGATGCAGCCATCGCCACGGCAGGGTACTAGTTTCTTCAACCTCGCCTGACCGTTCGTCAAAAACGAATACCGATGAAGTTTTTAAATTGTTTGAAACACGATTAACAAGATTGGAATCGCGGTTTCCAAAGCACACTTGCATAGCAAAGGATTAACTGGAGGATGAATAAGAGTGCAATTTTTCAAGTGAGTTTTCAAGGAAACCAAATGGGTATTACTTTGCAAATTTACCCATCGCGAAAATGCGCGACGCTACGTCGCGTCGATCAATCATCTTAATAGCGTCGACCAGCGACTTCCGGAGCGGAGGATCGAGCTTCTTCGAGCAACGGTCGAGAGAAAAGAAAAGGATGCAGCGGAAAACTTAAATGGAAAACTCAACGGATGAACGGTTACCGATTTATCAAAGTCCGAGGTTACCGATGGAATCAATCTTCGTTATGGTACATGGGATTGCTCTCGACGCGGCTAAAAACAGGTAGTCGTCCGGGTCGTTGACGAGCCGTGAGATTTATTTATCTTAGCGGGATTACGCTTTCGTTTCCGGCACGCCGCCCAAATACTGCAGTTAATAAACGAAACTTCCGTTTGGACGTTTCTCGTTTGATTGAGAGATCTATAAATCGTGGGAGTAGTTTTGTGAAATTCTACTGTTAACAGGTAATCCTTCCGTTGTGAAAGGATGGTATTGTCTATAAAACAAAAGTGTCAGGATACTTTTGAAATAGAGAGATCTAGTTCAATGGCGTTGAATATCGCAGCTTTCCACAAATTTTAGAAAATTCTTTCATGTCGAACCGATGTAAATAGTTCATGCTTTCAATTTTTTTCATTTCCTGCATCGATACGTTCCCATAAGCGTTTAATTGAATTAATCGTAAGTTTTTCCATCGAGCTGACACGATCGACGGAAACATTCGCGAAACCGATACGATTGATCTTGTTTTTTTTTCAACGTTCACTCTGAGAATTTTTCTGCGTCAGAGTTTCCCTTTGAGAGCGACTAGAAGCGTGTAGTGCTATCTGCGTGATTAGATTCGCTGTGTTTTCTGAATCAATACGACGGAAGAGAGAAAATTTTCGTTCGAAACGATGCAACTGATGCAATTTTTCGAATTCGGTTTTACAAAACTTCGTATTTCGATATTTCATTCAAAGCTACATTCGTTCCATTCGATTACTCCTCAATGTGTTAATTATTATTTACAATATTCTCGATATCCTCAATAATCCATATTACCTTTCAGGATACTAGTCATCGATGGTTTACGGTGTTCAACAAAAGTTAATCTACTTCGATTTATGCACGTTTTATGACATTTCATAAAATATAAAAATATTCTAATGTTATATTTTGCTACTTATAATGGCAATGCGAAATATATTTAGTTATTGAGTTAAACGGCACGTGTTGAACCTTCAATTTCAGAATGCACCATCGTATAAACTGAGTAGCGATTGCTTGTAACCAAATCTCGTTAAAGGAAAAACAAACATGTTGTATCAATATCCGTATTGCTGCTAGTGAAATAAAATTCAACAGAGAAATTTGAAAATTAAAAAACATATTGTTACTGCATAACTGTTCTCCAGCAATTAAAAAAAAAAGCATCGATACATTCGTATACAATGAATTGATTGAAAGAAGAAACTCGTGAAAAATTTGAAACAATACATAGATCGTATTTAGAAAAAGGGAAAAGCTTGTTTGTCAAAAGTTTGTTTGAAAAAAAGAATTCTATTTTATTGTCTCGCTGAGATATCGCATCTATTTCGTCAACGAATATTAAATCCTCGCCGAGAGCGCAGAACAAACTGCAATAAGGTTTAATTTTATGATAGCGGACTCTTATAAAAGCAACCCGTATCTGGTCGAAAGAGAAGGTAATGAAAGACACGAAGGAAGGCAATAACATTTGCCTTTACGAGTGCTGACGGAAGTTTATAAAATTGCCGAGAGAAGAGTGAAAACGTAAACGGGGCAGGGAAATAAGAGAAACGAGCGATATCGCAAACTTGTATATTTGAAGGATGTACAAGAAAAAAAAGGAAGGAACTCGTTGCAGGGAATTTCATCGAGCGAATATTCAACTATTTCTCGGTTGAAATGTCACGGGATATGCTTCGATTTCGAATCATTTCATAGTGGAGGAACATCTTCCACCACATGAAAATCGACACAAATTTAATTTCACGGAATTGCGATGAAATTGCACCCTCGGGACGTTCGCGTTTTATGCAAATTGAGATTTAACCCTTAAACGCGTCGTTTTTCACATACTTTCCACTTGCCGCTTCACGAAATCAATAGATCCTCTGTAATTAAAAATTCTGTTTATAACAAACATTACCAATTTTCAAATTGAGAAAATAAATCGACTTTAAATTAACAACCGACACGTAAGGTTCGCGTAAAAATAGTTAAATCTAGGTAAAACGTATTAACGTTCCTGTTTTAGCTGACCTCAACAATTTTTCATCCCTTCGTGCACGTCGAATTGGTACAATAAAAAAAAAAAAAAAAAAAAAAAAAAAAAAAAAAAAAAATAAAATTAAAAAAAAGAATAAAAAACGGAGAATTTTCGCGAAACGAACACGTTGCTGTTATTTCTCGTCAATACCTCGAAAATCACATCGAACACGATGCAGGTAACACGTAAAATTACTGGTGGCCAGTGGCAAGCTTTGATGCAATTTCTAATTTAGTATCATGCAAACTAGCTGCAAAAATATTTACCGTGCCGGACACACTGCCACAGGGAAAATTACCACCCCCTACCCTGCACGTTACTCAGCTTCATCGCAATAGCCTGTAATCGAGGCATGCCCGATAATTTTCTTTTTATACCCGGACAAAGTGTTTCCGTAGATTGCCAATTTCCGTTATTAACACACACGCACACATGTACATACGGAAGCTATATCGCCGCCTGTAACTTTACCAGTTTCATTACGGTGCTGCAGTCCAGATTCCCTGTGATTTCAAAGTTAAACGAACGCGTTTATCGCGAAACGTGAAATAAACGCGAGCGAGTGAAAAAAAGTGATTAGTTATAAGGGAAATATATTGGAAAAGAGAAACATCAAAAGGTTTGTTCTGATTGCACAAGGAAAGCATAAAAATTTTAGTACTGATGAATATTCTATGAAAAACAATTAAGTCTCCAATTTCCATAAAAATATTTTCACAAGTTTCAAAGAAACTTCTAAAATAACGTGTTTGCAATTCTATATACGACCACTTAAGGGTTGAATGTTTATTTTTGTTCACAGTATGGACGTAAAAATAGATATGGCGTGTATATTCTGAGAAATCAATTAATATACTATAATTGGGCCGGTATACCGTGTAAAATCAATGAATCGCATTATATTAATGAGTTACTGCGTTTCATTGAAGACGAGTCGAAAAACTTTAAAACAACTCCAATTAAGCAAAAACATTGGGCGAATAAAATTTCTTGAGTTACAAATTGTGATTTTATTGTTTTTAACATTGATTGTGTTTACGTAACACAGTCGTAATTATTTCATAGTTGAATGTTCATTAAAAATGAGTCGCTTGGGAAAACTCATCATTCCTAATTGAACAGATCCAACTTTCGTTCAAAAGGAAAAAAGTGAGTTAATAAAGCTATCTTCTGGGAACGATCGCTTGGAATTTTTCTAATTAGATATCCGCCTATACACATAACGTTTCTTCTAGATCCTGGATTAGATATTTCAGACGCGAACGACTTAATTATCGAGCGTTAATTAATCTTCTACTATAAAACCTAAGCAATTTTCCTTTATAGCGTGATTAAGAGTAAAATGTAGCTGAAAATTTCAAATTGCAATTTATTTTTAATACGTTCATGACATTTTTACGACCGAATTTTTTTACTTTTCACTCGTAACCTTTGAACTATTACAAAATCAATACTGAACACGTTGTTTATGAAAAGTAATTTGCAATTTATTTATGATACCCTCTGGTTTCCCTTACGACCAAATTCTCTATATTTCATCCGTAACCTTCGAACCACCATGAATCAATACCGAATGTATCAAAGAAATATTCCATTCTTCTGAAATGTAATGGATCTAAAGGAAAAAATAATTCTATGAAGAACCATAAGATGACAAAACGAATGATCCACCTTACAGCAATAAGGATGCTCGTAAAAGAGGCAAGAAATCGTATAACGAAATAAACGTGGCTCTCGTGAAAGCATAATCCTCACCGCTGTTTCAGGTTCAGTCAATTTTTCATCGGCTTTCGAAAGTTCCATCAGCCATTTACAATTTTTCAAAATAGCCATTTTAAGAAGATGAACGATGCATGGGATGAAACGTATTCCCTGGTGAACTGTTGCTCAAAAATATCGCGGATCCGGCTGATAATAAAAGATGCACGTTGTCGGGCGACGTGCCGCGAAAAAGTATTTTCAGACTGGCACAGTTATAGAAGTCTCCTTCTTCTTCGTTCAGCTATTCATCGCTACTTTCATAGACACCATTTTTCATGCCGAGAGACGTTGCGTTTTTATTCGCTCTTCGAACGGTCGTACCTTTGAGAAACACGCTTCACGGATCCGTACTTACCGACCATTTTCTTTCACGCTTTTATTTCCCTCGTTTTTTTTTACGATTATTGGTAGCTCGCTACGTTGGTACATTCTTTAACTAGCTATTCATTCTTTTTTTACAACGCCGTGCAGACAATAAAAGGGAGACTCGAAAAACTCGAGGGATGAAACAACATAATTGATATTTATGATTAATTATAGTTTTTCTTTGCTTTTATTATTGTTGAATCATCTATATAGAATATAAGAGAGAGAGAGAGAGAAATATTTATCAAGGGGCGGATTTTAATTTCAACACTAAATATCATGCAACATTGCAAGGTTGAAAGTTAAAATATCTTCTAAGGTGATAATTTTATCTGAAAAACATCCTAATATCTTTTCTGTAGCAAACGAGAAGCTTCACTGAATAATGCATAAGGTATTCTTCGAGTTCGTTTATCATCCTACTAAACTGAATCAGACACCCTCTCTCCGTAAGGTAAAAAGTAGTTGTCTGAAAATCTGAAAATTTCAAAATCCTTTCAGTTTTTATTTACAGTGAAAACGAGGAGCTGACAGAATGATAATTAACAGAAATAAACGAAGAATACGAAGAAAACAGGGAGCATACCTACATAATTAACAACAGTTAACATCTGGTTCTGAATTAAAGAGTAATTAAAAATTCACCAAACGCGAAGCAATCGAAATGGAAAGATGGTTACGAAAATAAAGTCTTATAGAGTATCCGACGTTCTCTGGTAGACCGCTAAAAATAGAATGTCGCAAAAGTAATTAAAAACCGTTTTAACACCTTCTTGCGACCGTGTTTCCAGGCAGCTGCGAACAAATTGGCGAAAATGGGATGTCGTTTTGAACGTGCTGGAAGAATGTGAAAGAGACTCGACCAAACATTTTCTGTTTCTCGTTTCTCCCTCAATTTTTATTTCGTTCCTATCGAACTTAATCGTTCTTCACGATACGTTCGACAAAACGCGAAACAGAGAAACAATTAACGAGGATGCTGTTGTTTCCAATACGAACCGAAACGAGCACGGTACCGCAATGGTCGACGAATTTAGATGGCAGTAGAAGGTAATTATTTACTCGTTACCGAACCGATGATTATTTAACGGATTAACGTGAAAACGATTAACGTAATATTTGATCAATCCAACGGGAATGATTTAACGTGTCCCGTGAAATTCTATTTCTGATACAATTGCAACAGATTATATTCCTACCCTTTCGCTGTGCTCGTATAAATGGGCCGATATGATGGATCGCCTGATACCGTGTTCTCTGTTATTATCAAACTTCATCCGTTCTGTTTTTAATGCTTTCCTTTCATTGCTTTTCTTCATCGATTAAGATATAATGCTCTTTTGAAGAAGAAAAATGTTTGAGAGTTTCGACGAATAAAAGGAGAATCGAACGTTGATTTCAATAACCACCCCGTTGGAAGATGATAAGAAATTGAAAAATACAGATAATGGAGGTTCCTTTGAAATCGAAAAGTAATTTCAAATGTGACTGTTCGATTTAACATTTTCCATTATAACGTGGAGGGATGTTTTCTTATTTACTTGCTTACAAACTAAAAATTTATAAATTTATAAAATTGTTATTGAATATAATCGAAAGATAAAAGAAAAAGAAAAAACTTACCGAGCAGTCGTTGACGTAACAAAAATCACCAGAAGCCGAGGTTGGTACCCAAAGATGTTCCCCATTTAGTGCACCAGGACCCCAATCGGGAGTTGATCGGGGTTCACGGTGGCCGCCACTCGTTCCACCCTCTTCTCTCCCTCTGAAACCACAAGACACTCGATTACAGGCTGACACTTCGATATCCGGCCTGTGCTTGTTGCAGTTGACGTTAATTCCTCTACAGAAATTCCATTAAGACGGGGACAATGCACGTCACTGGGACACAGAAGCGAGTATCTTCCGAACTTGTTTGCCTTCTAATTTGATCGTTCACAAAATAGAAAACGTAATCTGAACGGGGATAATGTCAATTCTAAGAGGAATTAAAATGCTGTATAAACGATTCAATAGTAATTGTTAGCTAACATCGATACATTTAAGCGTCTTCATCATTCGTTTCATTTATTATACACATGCAGCATAAAATATGTAAAATAAAATAATTTTAAGCAGCTTCACGTGTTAACTGTTATCGATATTAATAATTTTATAAAGATTACTCTCAAAGAGTTAAAAATTATGAAAAACTATACCGCAATAGTTTGAATTGTTGACTTTCGGCTGGTAAATGTTTTTTAAGTCATAGTGTTGGAGCATCGAGATTAATCGAAAACCATTTTCGCCTGCATCCAACGATGTGGCGAGCAAAGAAGGAGTTAATATTATCTTATGTGAATTCTCGCGGGAACGGAGTCTGGTGAAAAATTCAAGGATGTTTTAAATTTCAAAAAAGCAGTCGGAGTATAATGGGCGGTGCAGCGTGCAACATTAATGACGACAGTCACTCGTCTGAACCTCGTGTCCCTTTGGAGGACTATATAAAAATTTTATTCATTCTACCCAGTTACATTCTACCCTGGTTTCCGCATAATTAGTTCGCGAAAATTACCGAATATCTGGGCCAATCGCGGGATAGAGAATATACGTACCTACTACGTATAGATAATTAAAAGCCAAAATGAAAATTTACTAATCGTGGTAACATTTGCAAATTGCAATAATTACAAAATAATAGCGTGCCTATATAATTATCGTAGCCGAGTACACAATAGCCTGTTATCTCGCTGTCACATTGAAAGGATTAATTTCAATTTGTGCCAGTTTGCTTTGCCAATCGATCGATATCTTTTGTGCTATTCAATAATGAATCGTTTGAAAGACAGAATAAGATACAGGTGAAAGAAAAAAAGCACGTGTGCTTATACCGACGGATAAATTTTAAATAATAACGAGACTCGACTGACATGGTACGCGCTATGTAGAATTAGTTCCTTAATAATGAACGGTCTGCGATCATTAAAGATTCACGAGCGTCCTCTCGAGGATACGAGACCATAATGCCGAGTTTGAAAATTTCATTTACCAATTGGACCGTATTTGGTCCGTCGGTCTACGGCCCTTTCGAGACCACTCAATATTCAAACGACCATCTACCCTGTTATCGGAATTTCTTCTATTTATCAAATCTGTCGTCGAATTGAACCACTGATCGAATCCTTAACAACGAGAAGTTCATTCAAGTTTCTCGCCACTTTGATCGTCGGACGAAAAACACTTAAAACTTTCAATAATTGTTTATATTTTAGCAAATTGAAATGGTAAAATAATATCAGAATATATTGATTTCAAAGTAGAATCGTTGTATCGCATTACCATACTTTCATTGTTAATTACAGTTGTTCGACTAACTCGTTCACAGAATTGAACGGCCATACTCTTTGCGAATTCGATTAACGTGCATGCTAATTGGAATCACGATAGCTGAACCGATTTAACGAGTTTTCATTACCCCTTCGTGAATCAATCCGAATGCATTTATAAATTCACAGGGAAAAGTAGAACAATTGTTCTTACGATATTCCAATAACTTATCTCGTTGGATCTCTTGTAGGTGTAAAAAAAAGTAAATCAGATGTATCGATTAAACGATAAAGTCACCAACGGCAGTCTCCAATTACAAGGACGTATTTCTTCTTTTTTTTTTTTCTACCCCTACAAAATACCACTTTCAAGTCACGACGAACGGAATGAAACGCGCTCGTATCGCATTCTCCGTTAATTCCTGACGTTCGTAATTCGATTGCGAGATCGTTCGTTATCCGAGAAGCTGAACAGAAATAGCTCAATCGAGGCCGTGAAACTGCGACTGCATTTTCTCTCAGCCGATGAAAATTTTCACGTTCGACGGGTTTCAATTGCCGCTTGCCTATTTCGCTCCTTCACGATCAATCGGTCACCCCTAACAAGCGAACGATTTTTCACCGGTGAAATTTTTATTCCTACTGCTCGAAGATTGAACGAGCAAATAGTTTAATCCTTTCATTACGAAGAATTACATTTGTCTGACTGAACATTCTTCTAAACTTTCAAAAGATCAAGACCGAACGATATTTAAACCGTCCTAATTGAAACAGGAGGTTTAGTTAATATTCTCGTTGCAAGATGAATTGCGTAACGCGTACAGAAGACAGCTAAAAGAAGAAGAAGAAGAAGAAGAAGAAGAAGCGACTACTTTACTTTTGAAAAATTGTACTTCTTCCCATTTACCGACTTCAACGACCATGGTAATAAAAATCTCGTTATCCGACTTCTTCGTATCAGCGAAGAGGAACTTCAGTTTTAGATGATCAACGTTTCGAGTATCTCTGCGCCGCTACGTTTCAATTAAACTCGTTAGATTTCTAATAAACTTGCGAACAAAAGACTAGAAAAACCGCAGACGAAGAAAATTTCAAAAGAGAAATACAATTTTTGTCTGAAAATTGTAATAAATGATTTTGGAAAGGACTTCAAAAAACAATGTCCAGACAGAAATTGAATTTCTCGTGTTATTCTTGTGGCAAGAAAGGGAACAGAAGTTAGTAATTTTAATAAACTCCTCTCTCCCTTGAATCATTGACGTCTTAATCTGCCCGAAATAGAAAAGGCTGACCGTTCCCGGCGCACAAAAGACACGTTATCACCTCGTAATCGCAGATGCGGCAAAATGAAATTGACTTTAATGAAATTCCGACTTTAATCGAAACTATTCATCGTCGGACATCGACTAGCCCTCGGACGATTTCATAAAAATTTTAGTTTGCTTCGACCATGTCTCTTATCTGCTTTCTGTATAATTAGTCCGCGGAAATTGTTGGGTATGTAGGTCAAACGCGAGACAGGAAAAGGGAACGCGAAATGACGTACATACATAGGCTTATGCCGTTCTGCGCTTATCGTATGCGGCTATCCGTTTCGTATCGAAATCATTGAACGTCGAACATCAGAAAGATTTCAGATAGAAACTATGTTTCTCGAGTGGTCGAATAATTTGTTAAATGGATCATTTTATAAATTGGAAAATGATTATCTTTAAATTGTTATATACATGTATCGTTATTCCAATAAAAGAAATATATACGATCACGGTACTTTGTTTCGCTTAAGGATCCTTCGGTTTGATTCCACCAGGTATTTCCCCTGAAATTCGAAGAAGCGAGTTTTAGGGTGAAACGAAAATATCAAGGTGGAATATTTCGATGTACGTTCTTTGCAAACAATGATGTTCGATTCGTTGGGAGTTCGAGTATCTTTTAAAAAACATATTCCTGACGAGGGTAGAACGTTCTCCAAGGCCCTTTATAATAGATATATCTGGAAAAAATGTCGTCGTTATATCTCAGCACTCACCCTCTGCGAGTTCCACCGAAATTCTAAAAATGGAATCTACCATTGAAACCATCCCATTGGTTCTCATAAAATTAATCATATCTAAAGACAAACGTGCAATAATAAGCCTCTATCTCGTTGGAGTTAGCAAGTCGAATCCGACGATACTTAAAAATTATTCATTAATTTTCGAGCAACACTCAACAACAACAACTATTATAAATTGTATCGTATCAAATGACCAATTTCGCAACATGGAAACTTAATTCAAATTTAAATTTCAAATTGGTATGCAACAAGTGATGCTTCTATCGTCATCAAATCACGAATCTAAGTTTGAAAATTGATCATTCGATACGGTACGACTTAATATAAAAAATCGAAAAGACAGCACAAAGAAAACAAACATCGATGAAAGAAGGAGCAAGAAAGATTCTTCTTGACCAGAGTAGAATAGAAACGAGATAGAGAATCGCGACGAACAACCATTCAGAAAATTCAAAATATTCAGAACAAGAGACTTGCTCCATTCACCAGACGTACCCACCCTCTTGGAGGTCGAGCCTCGGTGCCAGGAAGTAGAGCCGTGTACCTCGTCTGCGCGTCTGTAGGCAGAACGATATCGACGCTCTTCGATCGTATATTCTGTTGAGGAACGGCCAATGTATCCGCATCTCCTCCGTTTCCGTTCTTGTTATTAAAGCAAGAGTCCACGGAAGCGGCACGATCCCGTTTCAACTCGGGAACAGTTAGAAATATATCTCTGACGACGATCTTGGACTTGTTGGTTTCGACGTTAGCCACCTCCTCGTCGTCTTCATCGTCCTCGAGTTTCTCTTCGTCCTCGGTCGAGCTAACCACCGTTGGTAGGTCGATGGGGTAAGAAGTAAGCGCCTCTTGACGAGCGAGTTTCGGCGAGGCGAGCGATCTTCTGCGTTGTCTTTCCGGGAATAATTCACCTCTCACCGCACTGGTGTCCGTATCGTCTCGCGCAACCTCGGGAACGATCTCTGGCACCACAGGGGACACAACTTCCGGTACCGTGTCCGTGACATCGGCGCCTTTCTCGGTGAACGTGGTCAAAGTGACCCTGATCTCGGGGCTACCTTCGCTTCTGTCGATCAACTCGGAGTCCTCGTCGTCGGAGGTGTCCTCGCCTTCGTCCACCTCTTCGTCTTCCCTCGAGGAAGGCTCATCCTCATCTCGGCTCGAATAGAGATTCTTATACTCTTCGACGCAGGCACAGTGATAGCAGCCCGATACTTGGATCGTCGGCGTCTCCGGGCGTCGAATGCTGCCCAGAGATTGCTGACTGGAAGACGAGCCGTAACTTCTCTCGCAGACGTCGAAACTCTTGGATCGTTGTCCGCTTTGCAACTGCGGCACTCTGAGCGTCGAGGCTCGTCTTCCTCGCGAGGAATCCTGCGACTTTGCCGGCGAACAAGAGGACGACGAGGATGAGGTGGTCCTGGTTGATCTAGCGTCTCTGATATCGTCCTGTCTTTTAGCCTCCAATTGGATCTCGTCGAAGGAAGCCGACCTGACTTGCTTCGGTACCTCCAGGCTAGACTGCGACTTCATTTCCGCTCCCGTCGGGGTGCGAGACCTCTTGAAGGTCGAGCGCAATCTCTGCATTCTCACTTGGCAGCTATCTGCTGAATATCGTCTCGTTTCTACCGAACGACCGATCGTACCTCGACGTCCACTTCTGTAATCCCCTTCCGGCCAGCTCTTCCTCTTCCTCTTCCTCGTCCGTTTCAACGCTACTGCTCGAACCACGATCCTCTCTTTTCTGAACGATCGTCGTCTCGCTGGCGGGCTTGATCACCTCGGTGTACCTCGGCGAGGAGGAAGCCGACTCGAGCTGCCCGCGACCGCACCCTTCCGCCACCTTCCACTTAGCTGCCGGTCTGCAGCCCATCATAAGTGACCTCGACGTTCGTTCTCAGCTTGTACACCTTCGATTTGTCCAGATTATTCTGCTTCGGTAATCGAGCTCGTCGCGGGAACTGACAGGTCGCCGGTTGCCCTTCGGTGAACGGTTATTTCGTGCTTCCTCCTACGATTACTCAACACTTCGAGCAGATGGTTTTGACTACGCTTCGTCGTTGCTTCTGTCGATGATTGTTAAATACTGGACATGTCGTTGATTGTCTAATACTGGAAGATTACTTGGATACTTTCAAACACTGTTCAACCGTTACAAGGAACGATAGTTTTTCAATAAAGTCACTGTTAATTGCTCGCGAGGATGACCTCCTCTGTCCTTTAGTCCCTTTTAATTACCTTCGTCGTTGTTTTACATTGTTTCGAACATACGAGATTACTCGACATCACTATAACATTGATCCCACGATGCATCGTCGACTAATTAATGTCCATAGCGTTCGAGACAAGGCCTTGTGTAATCCCTGTAGAACCGAGGCGATCATCTATTCGCTAAAATTACATTCCGATCCAGGACGCATCCGACGCCACGTGGAAACTATGTCCTCGATCCAGCAGCGTTTGCAATTTAAGCTCCTTTCCCTATGCGACGGAATTTTCTCATCACCGCGTTCAATGATCACACTATCTCAAATTAAACGCACCACCCTCGACGCGAGAAAAGGTGAACTTTATTCAAGGATGTCCCTTTTCGCTTCAAGGATGTAATCCCATCCTACTTCCTCGTGACTCGTGTATAGAAACATAGAAGGAAGGACATCTTTCTTTTAATTTTTTTTTTTCACTCTAGATAGTTCTGATTTCTTTGAATATTTTGATGGAAAATACTTTGGAATATTGAAATGGTTCGTCTCCAAATCCTTTAAAGACGAGCAGTCATCTCCGTCTTGAAACGTCTCGTAGAAATTGGCAGGATGTAACACGGTTCGTTTCCCTCCAATCCTCCACCTTAAATCATCGAGCGTGTTAATCGCGACGTATTTCCTTCGACGACCAATATTCGTAGGCTGATAAACCCGTAGAATGGAGCAGATAGCGGAGCGGATTAATCTTCCATACGGGGATGAACATCGAACACGTGGATCGCCTCGTTATAACCTGTTCTCTCCGAAGCTTCGATGATATAATTCAAACGAATCAGACTCAGCTAAGTTAATTGGGTCATCCTTGGATCTCTATAAGTCCTAATATCGCCAACACTCAATTTCGAAGACGATTAAAACGCCTACGTTCTCGCAACGACGTTAGTTCGAAAGTGCGAACAGTGTCGCTTTAATGTTCTCTTTAAAAAGCTTCGGAAGAAGTGGAACAAGAAGTAAGAGAAGTTTGTTCCAAGTGTTCGGGGGTTGATGGACCGACGGCGAGCAGCGTGTTGCTCAACGACGCGCGAACCATAGTCGAAGGTCAAACGTCGCCGTTCGCCAGAACACCGTCGACGACCTCCACGAACCTCGACGCACGTGAGATCGTCAAACACCTTTCACGAAAGCTTTTTTTTTTTACCTCGCTTTCTATCCATTCGCCACTGTCTCACTCGCTGCTCGTTGAGGCACTCTCCTCTCGAGCGACTAGCAGCATCGATCGCCAGCCTTTCCAGCCCCGTAACTTAATTTCTGAGCGACGTTCGGATAATCCGCTCGATTGAAACTTCTCGTGAAATTCCGTGCCGCGTGCACGAGGATCGCCTTCCGGAGGACGCTGCCATTAGGTGATTTCCATTTCACCTGCCTCCAGTTACCTCTCCGTTTACCGCCTCACTGATTCTCCCTTTTCTCTCTCTCTCTCTATCTCTATCTATCTCTCTCTCCTCTCACTTGTCGAACGTTAAACGATCACGATCTTCTACTGTCACTCGAATCGGCGGAATGAACCATGTATTCGCACGCCAGACTCGTTTTCACGCTTCAAGTCTGGCGCGAGTCCACGATCAGCTTCCACCTCGCTACGTAAACATCGCGGCTCGATGTGCAAATTTTTCTTCGCGATGAAAAAAATGAAAGGATCCACGCGGATCGAGGTGCACGCGACTCGGCAGCAGCCGTTGCGTTTATCCGCTGCTGATGGAAAAGGTTGGCGAATGCCGTAGGTTTGAAGCGCAACAGGAAGAACGGTGAGGAACAGAGAAGGAACGAGATTACGCGTACGTGCCGTGACAAGGGGTAGACTGTTCGGACTAGTGACCAGGGCTCGGCAGTGGCGGATGCCACGAGAGGTAAAGGTGGGGGTCTCGTCTCCCTCTAACCCTTGCTTCACCCTCTTGCTCGCGCCCTCTTAGCCGTCGTCGGTCAGACATGCGCCCTCCGACCAATTTCACTGTGTGCACCTTTACACCAACATACGCGAATAAGGAACACCGAGTGATGCCACCGACGACGAATTGGAGATTGCGCTACATGACCGACTACCGTCGGGGAAATGTGTGTGACGCAGGAAGGGCAGACACGTGTAGAACCTCCTCTTCTTCTTCTTCTTCTTCTTCTTCTTCTTTTCTCCTTCGCTCTCTCCGGGATTATCTCAGTCAAAATTTAATTCTTAACTCTTACAATGAAATCGAGATACGTTAATTGTATAGCGGAGTCATCGGGCATCGCGATAAAAAAGAAATCGTAATTGAATTTTTTCTTATCTACACGCGTTGGATATTTGATTGCTGGGTCGAGGACAATTTTTAGGGCGAAGCGTTTCATCGACCGTTTGATTGATTTTACTTTTGTTACGTTCCGAGTAATAGCCAAAGAATAACGCGAGTCATCGTTGGTATAGAGGTCGACTCGGCAGATCCTATTTCTCACGAGTTCCTCGAATTGATTGTCGTCTGTCAACGACGAAACGGACTTCCGTCATCCTCCCTTTTGGTTTCTTTCCCCTTTCTCCTGCCACCCATGTGGCGAAGTATCGACGAAAATCGAATATTATCAAAAATGATTCTTTAAGTAGCTGGAAACTATCGCAACAGTAAATTTATCAAGCGCACATTGAATCATCAACCGTAACCTTTCGCTGTTGGAAACTGTTTATGGATAGACACAGTTAATTGATCGTTAAAAAATAAATAGACAAAATGTCGTATACGAGTTTGCAAATTTTACTTTCAACCGCAATATTCGAAAAATTAACTATTGCGTGTTTTTTTTTAACGAACAGGTAAACCGGGAGTGTGCATTCTGACACTTCGATTTTGCTCTAATTAAAATGCACTCGAATTGAAACAATTAAAGATTAAGCGTTTCAAAAATTTCCGCGTTCGACACGCAACGTGGCTGGTTTGCAGGTTGACGAGCAATCGATGCAGGCGAAACAAATAAATACATATAAACGATATCCGCGACTCGATAAAACAGCGCTCATTAAATAATAAACGACATCGATTAATATTTTCCGCCGGGTTTACGTTGAAAATCAGCCACGACGTTTTTTTATTCAGCCACGTTATCGAAAGCGGAATGTTCTAGCCCCATTTCTATGCGGAATAATCGATACGACCGATTAGCACCGCGCGACATTTTCACTTCACTCGAAAAACACTCGACCCGGAAGGAGAACAAGCGGTTTTTCCCACGATAAAACTTGGAAAACACAGAAAAATTTGAAATTCAAAGGGACAAAATTCTTTTTTCCCAAAGTTCTTCCTCGGACGCCTTGTTTTCTCGTTGAAAATTTTTCGAATGCGATTCGCGGTAACAAAAAACAAAAAAATAATTCGTGTTTTGAATGCCTAGCTCAACGGAATTCTTAATTTTTGAGGGAGGAAAAAAGAAAATGAAGTAACACGCGAAAGCTCTCGTTCTCGTTTGCAAGCTGAAAAGAATCGATTTCCTGCCACATGGAATCTTCTGATTCTAAATGCGTCGTGCATGGAAACCCGATTCGAATAAAAAATTAACTCTATCACCGTCCATTCTGATCTTTACAAAATCCATAATTATGGAACTTTGTATTTGCTGCTCATTATTCAACGCTTGATTACCTAGCATCTAGGTCACTTTAATTGCTCGGATTAGTATTTATGAGATTTTTCAGTTTTCTTTTTATTAAATAGTAGATGCGACGACTTTTTATCATTTTTAATATAACACAACGTTTTATCGTCAATGTAATAAACAATTTTTATTTCCACCATACGCACCTAAGTGTTTACCACGCACTGGTGTAATATATGGACGTGCGTGAGGATTAAAAAGGAGACGGCATGTAAAATAGGTAGCAGTGTGCGGGAATAAAGAATCGTGTAGATATAACTTCAGCATTACGTATGCGCATAACTTACGACCGGCAGCCTCGACATTTTTGCAAATATAAATCCGTGACTTCTTAGGAAAGTTCGCGTGTCTAGTGATTTGTGGATCGCTCCAAGTATGACGCGATCGTTGTTGACTCATTTGTTGAAAATATGGAGGAAAATACATCGGGGGGAAAAAAATGAAATGTTCTACCATTAGGGACAGTGATTGAGCGAGTGGATGATGACCAAAGCGTACGTCACACCCTTTGCTCGAGAAATAATTCTTGAAATAATTGGACAATTAATTAGAGAATGATACGTAATTGTAAAAGCAGAAAGAAATAAAATATCCCTTTCCTTTTTGCTATGCGTAACTTCTCTTGATCGAAGCGGAGATCGAGTTTAATAATTAAGAAATATAAATGAAGTCGTGTTTATAGATTTTCAAATGAGGTACACATATGATTCTGTTTCCCCTCAACCATTAACATAAATTGAAAATTGCAAAGCAACTTTCCAAGCTTTCCTAGCCGTTTAAATCACAAAGTTTAACGATGTTCCGCGAAGCACCGGTAACAAATATTAAGCACGGAACATGCATAATACAGACGAGGTATAGTGCTCGTAAAATTCAGTTTACGTTGAAATTTGGAACGACCTCTATACATTATGTGTGATCTAGTACTGAAACTAAAACGAAATTACCGTTCGAACGCCTATCGGAGAGTAACCTGTCCTATATTTAGAAAATTACTATTTTTCTTTACTTTAATGAATTATATTTCTTGATTGATGCTTGATTGCCTAAGAAAAGATAATTTTGTGAAACTAATTTTTTGCTATTTTTATCATAAAGAGTAACAAGATTCGTCTGATGTGGTAGATAAAATTGTCACGAAGCACCGTGAAATTTCCTAAATTAGCCTTTAACCAATTATATAATTCACGCAAGAACGTGTTCATTCATCGTTCACGCCCAAATTAATCCGTTTGAATTCGACGATCCATGTTACGTTTATCCTATTAGCTAATCCAAATCTCCCGTTGAATTCCGGCACGATAAAAGCGCAGACGAATGATTAAATTTGAAAGGTCACCATACGGTATCTCGGTTTCCACAGAATCCCCGCGTATGTAATAACCTAACGAGAAACTGACAGCTACATTTAGAACTTTCCACGGAATACGTTCCATCGTTCTGATTAATTGTTACAATTCGCGTTACTCTGTCCTGTGAAACTCTCCTTAATCTCTTTCAGTAATTTTCATCCTCATTTCAACGAAAATCGGAATTAATTTAGAAATGTAATTAAAACCCTCCATCATTCTAATAATACTTCTTTAAAGTTATTCTACGAAATCTTAATCCATCAGAGCTAAGATTCCCGACTTATGTTCCATGGAATTCTATGTTTATCTTGATCAAATTTGGTATTTCCTAATCAAATTTGTATTAGAGATTTAATTAACATTCTGACGACCACCCGTTTCGCAGAATTTATCACTTTTGTTATTTTAGATTTCAAGACTATTTATGGAATGATATTTAAAAAGATATAAAATTACTAATTGCTGATTTCTACTTGCAATATAAAATACTTGCATTCGTTTTCATATCAGCAATTGATAAAGCAAAAGGCAGAGGATCACCAAAGGATCTGCAATCCGCCCTATTTCAAGGACCTGATGCTAGCACATATTTTTCTCTATCCAAGATGGACGTGATCCCAAAAGATGATCACGTTTTGGCTATTTATATGACATATTCTGGACAACCGAGAGATTGAAAAGAATTTCGCTGCAGGACTTCCAATATTCTCTGGAAAATCCATGTAAACGTTTTTGGAATCGTTAAAGGGATTTATTGTATAGAGCTTTGATAATAAAATCTTTTTCCAAACGTGTCACGTCGATCATTTTTATCAGTGACAAATGCAGTCTCATCGTTCAATGGATAGGTACATTGTATACCTTTGGCATACAGTGAGAAGCAAAACTGAACCAATAATACTATTTTCCCAGAAAATGATTTACTTACATTGATATTAAATAATTTCAATAACATATCATACATTCTTAACAAGATTTTGTGTTCATTTTTGCAAATTATATAGTAACAAAAAAACCACCCTACCAGTCAAATTTACAGATGAAAGGATCCATCTCTTCAGACACTGCAATCCAGAACCACAAGGACAAATTCCACAAAAATAAAAAAAAATAAATAAAAATAAAGAAAATAGGGAAGAGAAAAGTGCTTTCACACAAGCCAATCACACGAATCTCTCGTTTCTTGCCACACAATCTGCTCCCTTTCACACATTGCCAACCTTTCCTCCGACTCATCGGACGGTTTCTTATCTTCGCGGCATCGTAAGTTCGTGCCCTCTGCGAAATGCACCCGTTGTCCTAGTTCCGGCGACAATCCGAGCAACCTACAATGCACACGAGAAAACACCGAAATGGTGGTATACGATCACTGAAAGCACTGGCTGCCCTCGAGGGACGGGGCACACACACGCAGCACACGAACAAAAAAACAGCACACGTGTGTCAGCAGACCATTTTACAATTAACTTTCTATTTTAACCCTTTGCACTCCGACGATCTTCTAACAGGATTAAGGAACAAATTCGAGAACACTTTTACGGGACCATTACGTAGAAAATTAAATTTCATTTTTCTCCAAGGGAATTTTTCGAAATGCTTAAAATTTATATTCCAATTATAAAGTTACCAAATAAACATTGCTGTACTTCTTGCATCATTAACCCGACAAGGCTAATGGAGAGCAAAGGATTAACATGTTAAATGCCTCAGGGGTTTATACGTTAATAAAAACATGACAAATTTTGTATTAATAAGAGTGATGAGAGGAAATGTTTCAAACTGTTATTATATTAACAGCATAAGGTTGAAAATTGAATGTTTCAACAAGCTATTCGTATGTTTCTTAATTAATGGTTTAATATGTCTGACTACACATGTCCATTTTCACTGCGGTATTAATACATTGTCTGCCACAGTAGAAATACTTAGTCACATCTAGTACGGCCTAAAGTTGACCTATTTTTAAACGCCTCTTAAATCGGCGCATCCGTAAGGTTAACAGTGAAGGGTAACTGGCGTTCCAAAAAAGGAAACTTGAAAGTAAGCAAATTATTCGAGTAAGTACAAGCGATATGTGCAAATGTTTCTTCGATTTGACTGGTTTCGAAACGAGTATGCACATTCGATTGCGTCAGAACCGTGTGGCACCGATTTGCTTATCGAAAACAAGAAGGGTGTCTGCGACCGAGATAAAAGCGTGAATCGATTTCGCGGTAACATGACGTGAAAATGTTGGGAAAAAGAATCGACTGTGGGAATCTATTTCGACGAAACCAGGCGAATCTGGAGCAACACGAGGGTACGATGAAAATTTAAACAGGATCAGGGAACCATCTCGGCGGTTACTGAAAATCCAATCCAATTATAATTGAGAGATGTTCGATACATACATATTTGTTAGAATATTTCTGAATAATAAAAAATTAGTTCGCTGAGAACAACGCAAATTGTAATTAAAATTACAAAAGTACAATAAAATAGCATTTATGCTTCATGAATATCTGTAACTATGTACGGAGATCTTTAGAATGTGTGCCCCCTCTCTCGAAGCATTTCAAAATAGAAAAATATATCTTTTACGAGATTTTACAGGGGACATACAAAATAGGATAAAATACAGTGTATACTTAACTATACAAAAAGTGCACCTGAGAAATATCTACTTAAATGTGTAAAAATGATAACCAACCTTTCGTTTCTGATTACAATATTTAATTGTCAGCAAGTAATTAAAGATTCAATTATTATATTTTCTGATATTTTCAATTCAGAAACGAAAGTTCAGTCGCTGTAACGATATCAACTTCGCAAGCACCTGTCGCGATTTATAATCAACAGGTTGATTGTCCTGAAGATCACTGATAGCTAGGGCGAGAAAATCAAGAAATTACAAAAGAAAAAAGAAAGAAGGGTTCTGAATATAATTATCAACGAAATTTCTATTGATACGATGGCTCTCGCAGTGGAAATGCACATGTATAGTTTAGACGAACACGCATGTATCTGTACGTTTCATCACGAAAATTGATTCGGATTTAGCTGTATGCAGTAAATTTGCATATTGTCGAAAATACGGAAGGGAAAAAAAAAGAATTTCATTATCCGATAACTGTCGACGTGGGATCCCAGAGAATGCTTTGCCTCATACTGCTTTTCACCTCTTGAATATTCATTCGAATTAACGTTCACTCCGGCTCGAACCATCCTCTTTATTTATTTAATAAATATCTAAAAAATTAAACAACGAACGAAACGGAAGCATTCCGTGCTTTCATTTGAAAACTTTATGCAGGTAAACAGGCTTCCAATTGAATGGAAACCATCGGAGAAACTGAAGCTAAACTTTGAACGAATTGAAAAGTTTCAATCGGGATGAGAGATATTCATAACTGAATATAATTACACAAAGAAATGATTAATTTGTTTATCAGGAAAATATTTAAAGACAAACGTTTACAATTAATGTATTTATCAGCATTGTTGAAACAGTAAACAGACAAACCATGCGAGGAGAAGTAAAGAGGCGAGTTCTCAAGGAACTCGAGCGGCTCGTTAAAAATCTGTACGTCGCTGCATTTTATCTAATTAACTACTAATTAATTTTCAAAGCATTGCAATTAAGATATTACCATGCAAACGAAATCAACCACTAGTGCTTTGACCCTTGACCTTTTCGCGCGACAAGCTTGTATTCACATCGAAAAAAAAAGGAACCATTTGAATTTCATTATGAATGGAGGTCAAGGAAGCCACGTTTCGGATTCAGAGATCGAGGAGAAAAGGGATAAACGAAAAACTACCACGCCAACTTATAATGGAATTTTATTCCATGAAAAGTCGGACGGGGAAACCGGCTAAGGCAAGCACCAGAAAAAACGGGAGAACAAAAGTAACAGGGAAATTCTTTATTTCCAGTAATTCCAGTAAAGCAATGAGTATATTTAAATCGATTCTTTTGCATTTTTTAGTTAATTTTTGAATTTCAACTTTTCTATTCCGTGCCTCTTACTGTTAATAAATTGAAGATTAAAGAATAAATCTAACAATAATAATTTAAGGTAAGAAAAAAGTAGGAAGTAAAAGAAAGAAACTTCCGTTTAACTCTCATTGTAAAAGTCCCGGCTAAGGAATCATTTTCACTCGAAGAGATCACAATGAAGAAGCGTGAAAGGAGGAATAAAAGGTGAGCAAACTGGGTGCTCCTCGTTGAAGAACTGAAAGCTCAATCAAAAAGCTGCGACCCATTTAGAGATTCCCAGTTGCGAGCTTTTCTACCATTCGCCTCGTTATTTCTCTGTATCTGCTGGACTTCAGGTAACACTTTACTCGTGGAACAAAATCAGGCTGGTTGGACAGATTCATTAACGAAAAAGGTTCAAGAATATAATGCTTCCTTTTGTTCAAAAGTAATATCCTAAATGTCAAGTCATCCTATAAATAACGTCATTTTTACAATCCATCAACGATATTGTATCGAGAAATACTGATAACATTCCAATGAGAAATTATCAATTTGATATTTCTACAAAATATTGATATCTATCCAATACTAACATACTTTCATCATTTCAAAAAGTACTAAATGGATATCAATCCTTTCGTAGATGTATCGATTTTTATTAGATACTTACATATTTCATACTATTCGATGCAGTATCATAATTTCAGTATCATAGTTATGGCCATTTCTACTGCGGTGATGAATTGATTAACGTTAGAACTACTAGCATTCGATTCATATTTTCAAATTACTAACTATTCTTTAATTCTATAAAAATTGATATATTGTATATAAAATGATTTGAAAAACTTGCAAAATCACAGGGTAGATGGATATCTTGAGGAGCAATAGTGGATGCTTGCGAAACCAGAGACTTTGTATATACATACACAGGTGACTCTTGTTGACCAAGAAAATTCTAACCAGCCTCGATGCTAATTTGTTTATTCCGGTTGGAAACACTTCGCGTGATCACAGTCACTTCTGTCGAGGCCTGGGTCGATTAGAAATAGTCTGACCATTCGTACCGAGGCGTTTCAAACAAAGATTAAACGGCTTGTACGTGCTTATTTCCGACAACGGAATTTATGAAGCCCGAGAATTGCGTTACACGAGTAGCTGAACGAATTTCACGGCCGGCTCGTTAATCTCCCCCGACGTGTATAGTTTTAAAGTTAACTTTATTACATGGTTAACAATTAACCACTTTGATCGCAAACCACTTGAAACCAGAAAAGATATATGTAATAATTGTTCGCTCGGCAGAGAACGCGTGATTTAATATCGAATAAAAATGAGGAAATCATGTAATTGTTATTACAACTGATCTGATACAATTATAGAATCTATTAATACTAGAGTCTACGTAACGTATTATCATTGTACGTAAAGTTATGCAAAGTAACGTGACTCATTGTCAATATGTTGTCATGACCTAAACATTCTATTCCATAATTATCAAAGGACAGAATCTGGTACACGAAAATCATCAAATCTGGAGCAATGTTACAGTTTGTCCTAATTTCAACAATGTGAAAGTTTCTGGAGCAACTGCGAATTTTTCTAAAAATTATCATGTACTTTACATAATTCCAAGCAGCATTATAATTCCAGAATCAAGGAAGATTCAGTAAATTCGAGCAACTCGAAATGTTAAATGAGAAGCTTCATTTCAGAAGTACAATTGATTCTTTATTGAATTAAAATAGACTGAAAGGGACTTGATTTCTAAATGAATTTCCATCAATTTGAAATATTAAAATTTGTTCGCTATGTACGTCGTCCGATATTCCCTTGATTTCTGAATAGGTCTATTAATTATTCACAGTTTGAAACGGGTAAAATTTCGTAACAAATTTTCTACGGTCCGCGCAAGATTTGAGATATTCAAATGAAATTGTCAACAGCACACGGTTTGTACATTGACTCTTGACAATTCATGTAAATTTATTCAAGTTTCCTCTCGACGTTTATAAATATAAGGCGATAGTTTGTCTCTTGTATCAACTGAATTTCAATATTCCAGATAAGAGTAAAAATAACGCATTCGGTCAGTCGGTAATAATACTCCGAATCATTCAATTTTCTACCTTCAATTATATTTTCATTAACAATAACTATGCAACAATCATCTTCCAGATATTAAGAAAATACATTTGAGATCATAGTGCTGTTTTGAAAATAAACATAAAGACTCATTTGTAACCCGTACA